CCTCCCCCCGAGCCGCCATCTCCCACACCCACTGCCCAGGCAGGACGTGAGGAGCAGCACATGCAGGGAGCTGACCAGGCCTGGAGCTCTGACCTTTGCTTTAATGCCTCCTAACCACGCCCTTGGCCTGTTACCCCAAGGCCAGGACTGGCACTTCCCCTTCCATTCCCCCCAAAACATTGGGGGGTTCTGTTCCCCAGGATTGTCCCTGATACTCTTGGGGTCCCCCACTCAGCTCAGCATCGAGGCCTGTGTGTGGAGAGGCAGGACATGGAAGGATCAGGAAGGAGGTGCGGGGCTTCGGGTCGGCTTACAGGAGCCCGCGGGGGAGTGGGGAGGGCCTCAGGGAGGGTTCGGTGAGGAAGGTGTGAGTGGTACCTATAGGTCCGGGCACAGCAGGGGGCAGCTCCCCCCCCCCGCCCCCAGCTGCAGGCCTGGCTCTGAGGCTGGGGCGGATCCTTTTGGGACCCTGGACCCTGAAAGGAGTGTGAATAGGGGTGTCCCTCCCACCCCAGGAGCAGACCAGGGCCGGCCCAGGGATCAATGAGCAGGGAGAGGATGAGGGGGTGCTGGCCTGGGGCTGGGTGAGGAGGTGAGGCCAGGCAGGGAGACCAGGGCAGCAGGATCCCGGGGGGAGGGTCGGTGGGGGGGTTGGAGAGGCTGTCCAGTGTCTGCCCTCTGACCGACACCCCGGCGGGGAGCCAATTAGGAAACACGGTTCCTGCACCTACAGACGGGCCCTGGGATGTTCCAGAAGCTGCTAATTAGAACCTTGGGTCTGCCGCCCCACCCGCCCTGGGAGAAGAGCGGCCCCTCTGAGGCCAGCTCAGCGCTGGTGTTGCTGGTGCAGAACAAGGGTCTGCTGACCTGGGCAGCGGTCAGTGGGGCGCGAGGCTGGGGAAGCGGGCAGTGAGGCCGGGTGGGGTGTGCAGGTCCCACCCTGTGTCTCTGGGGCATGTTTGCCAGTGAGAGAGGACCCGGCCTGGGGAGGGTTGGGGTGGGCACCTGGCAGGGCAGGAGGGCATTGGTGTGGGGAGGTCTCAGGGCCAGGCCCCTCCATGCTTCTCACATTCACCCGGAGAGACCGCAGGGCAGGGCAGGGCAGGGCAGGGCGGCCGGTCCATTTCTTCTACAGGGAAAGGGCGCACAGGTTCCGGTTTGCTCTGGGACTTGGGACAGGGAGCCACAAGCCTGGGCCTCAGTGTCCCCATCTGTCAAATGGAGGTGTGACCCAGGGCACCTGACATCCTCTAGATGAGCCAGCCCGGCCCCACCCAGCCCCGTGTCATCTCCCCGGGCAGGTCCACGGTGACACTGTCCCCGCAGCCCCTCTCCTGGCCACCTCAGTCCTCTGATGCCCTCTAGGGGATCCGGCTCACCTTGCAAAGGCCCGTGAGAAAGCCGGTTGTTCACGGAAGACAGTTTTATTATTTCCAAGTGTCTCAGCCGTTCCTGGCAGCTTTGCAGGAAGCCCAGCCTTGGAGGCCTGTCCTTGATGTAACGTTGCCGTGAGTGTGCGTGTGTGACTGTGTGTGTGTGTGTGTGTGTGTGTGTGTTCCACCACAGTCTGTGCCCTGCGCCCTGTGCAGGCAGAGCGCACCTGTTGGGGGCGCCGCTCTGTGGCCCGTGTCCTGGGAGCCAGAGGAGTCCGGGCAGTGAGAGTGCCGGGTGCACCTTGTTCCCAAGCATCGGTTGTGCGAGGACGCTGACCAGGCCCGGCCAAGGGCTGGGCACCTCGGCTGGCGTGGGAAACACCCCCTGTGCTCCCAGCCGACATGGCGACATGGCGTGGAAGGGGCAGAAGAGCACCCTCCCCGCACCTGTGGGCCCAGGCTCCTCCTGACTCCTCCCAGGCCCTGCCCCTCAGCCTCCCGCCTTTCTCTCTCCCTCCGGCCTCGACTCCACCTTGTCCCTGTGCTCCCTGGGGGAGCCCCCTGTGGTCCTCTCACCTCCTCATGTTTGCACAACCTCCTCTCATCTCACACAGCCACTCTGCACAGGCACTCCCACGCACACACAAGCACACGCACACACATGCACACATACACATGCACACACAGGCACAGCGGTGCATAACCGAAGGAGAACTGCTCCCTCACACAGCCGTCCCCACCCCCAGTCCTTCCCGCCTTTGTGAGAGAGGGCCCAGCTTGGGGGTTGGGAGGGCACCGAGCAAGGGGTTTGGGGTGTGCCCCTAAACTCCATTGAGGGCCCCATCCTGCTCTGGGTGCTGAGCTTGCAGATGTGGAGGAGACGGGCCTAGTCCCCAAGGAGCTTACCGTCCAGGAGGAGCACAGGCGCGCAGACGAGAGCACAGAAGGCGGGTGTGTGGCGGGGCCCAGCCTGAGGCGGGCACATACAGGGGAGCCGTCCTCTGAACAGGGTGGGAGGAGGGCCTCCTGGGGGAGGGAGCCCAGTCGTCAGTGTTCACTGGGCAAAGCAGGGCTCCCAGGCAGAGGAGCGTTCTCCAAGCACAGAAGCGGGCACAGGCTGGGAAGTAGGGGGAGAGCAAGCCTGGGGCGCTGGGTGCATGGGGGCCCGGGGGAGTCTCGTGTGGGCCTCAGTCGTATCCACATCTGTGTCCAGAACCCCTCTGACCCCCCGCCCCCCCGCCCCGAGCCCAGCTCCTGCCCACTCCCCACGCCGCTGCCTGGGGCGGCCGGGTGCTGCGGCCGGCCTCATCCTTCCCCCTGAGGTTCAGACAGAGGGAGACAGACAGCTCACACTCTGCAAGGTGAGGTCATCTCACTTTTGCCAGTTCTTGGAAAAATTATCCGTTCCCAGAAATGTTTATTAGTCACCCCTTTTGTTGAAAGACGTTTTGGCACCACCAGATGGAAAAATCCGAATGCTTCACAAGAGGATTCGTCTGAGCGCTCCTCCTCCGAGAGCCCGGAGGGGCACTGCCGAGGGCACAGCTCGAAGGGAGGTCCGTGGGCACCTGTGGGGGAAGCTGGGCGTGTTAGGCTGTGCGCGTTCACGTGTGCTTTTGGGGGGCCCCTGGCAGAGGTGGGCCTGGGGACCTAGGCGGAACCTCCGTTGGTAGCAACACACCCTGTATGCCCTGCTACCTCCTGGGGCAGTGGAAACCCGAGGGAAGAGCCTGCCAGGCCAGTGCCTGCTCCGTGCCCTGTGGGCCCTG